GTTACAACATTCACTTTGGAAGCCAGTCTATCTTAGTCTGACAAGAATCCTACACATTTATTCTTATAATCCTTAATGAGAAAAGAAAAAAAAACTTATTTTATAAAATTCCCTCAGGGAAATTATTTGAAAATTTTATTTATATTTTAAGAATATAATTCACATTAATTGGGTTGTATATGTTTTAAAGAAGATAAACTACAATGATAGAAAACTATTTCTAATACATTTCCAATTCATTACACACAAAGAAAAGGGAAAAACCTCAGCTCTTACTTTGGTCATCCTATTATACATTAGCTAAAAAATGATAGTCCTAAATGATTACAATTCTATAATATTTGCCTACAATTCATTCAGTAGTTATTCCCCAGAACTTTCTTGGTGCTTTTTTACTAGTTTTATGAAGGAGTGAGGAAGACCTGTGACATGCTCAAGATCATATAGCAAGACAATGACATTGCCATTGACATATCATAGTAAGTTATTCCCCAAATGTGTACCCAGTTTTTCTTTCTTAGGTCTATACAAATTCTAGAAGTAGTTTGATTTTTTAAAAAAGTGAATGTTTGTTATTTATAAATAACATTTTGATATGTAGCTTTCTGGGTTTTTTTTCCCCTGCCAACCATAACAGTTCAAAGGAAGGAAGGGATTGCCTGGCACATAGAGAATAAGCTCCACGAGAGTAGAATCTTTGTTTTGTGGTCTCAAGTGCCTAATATCTGGCACATAGTAAGGTACACAGTAAATATTTGAATACAATTTTGTTGAATTATAATTTACTCCATTATCAATTTGAAGTATTTAAATGTTTAGGAGTTAAGTTTGGATGTAGGAAGAATTTTTGTTCTTTGCAAAAAGATTTTATAGTGAGGAGAACAATTGCTGTACAATTATCCATTAGTTTGTTAAGAGGAACTTTAACATTTGGACAGCTAGTCACCAGCACAGTATATACAGACCACTGTGGAAGAGGAAAGTATGAGGAATTTGCTGTTAGAGTATAAATAAATAAGTACAAGTTCATAGTGTAAAGTAACTTGCTAAATATAAAGCTGATCAATTGTAATGCAAAAATGTTTTAAAGAGCTATAGTTTTATTAGTTTGAGGTAAATGTAATTAGACTTAGGTTAATCAAGAAGACATACTTTAAAAAAAATAGGCAATGATGTTTTATGAGCATGTCAAAGCCTAAGCCAAAACAATTAGTTTTAGCTTAAATCATGGTTACAGTGTTTACAAATAAAGCGCTTAGCTGTTTTTTTATTAGTAAATATTTTCTTCAGTAAATATTTTTGCCTCTTATGCTATCATTCACTTGAATGATCACAAATTATAACAAAAGAAGATCTGATACTTTAAATTTCATTTATAATAGAAACTGCTTAAGTATTAGAGAGGAAGCGGAGGAGAGATCAACTTTTGATATGTAAGAAAATGAAGGGGTAGGATAAGAAATTATGTAGGAGGAGAAGGCATTCATGTATTCCTTCATGTGTTCAGCAGTATTTATTGATAGCTTACCATGCTAGAGTCTAGGATATAAAAGTGAAAAAAAATAGGCGAAGTTCTTGCTCTCATGTACCTTACCTTGTAGGGAGGAAACTCACCTTGAGATAACATGTCAAATTGTGATAAAAATGCCTCTCTTACTAATTAGGTTGAATATTCTTTTCCCATTGCATTTAATGTTTTTTAAATAATAGCTTTATTAAGATATGATTCGCATACCATGACATTTATTCTTTTAAATTGTACAATTCAGAGGGTTTTTTTTGTTTTATTAGCTGAGTTTTAGTAGAGTTCTCTTTGAGTGTCTCTTTTCCAGATCTTTCCCTGAGAGCTGCCTTCTTCTTTTGGCTTCTAGCCCATTGGGTTCCACTAATTACCAGATGACTGCTCTGCATTTTGGTATGGTGCCCCAGGGTATAAATTGCTCAGCAGTCTGAAGTTAAATTATGGTAGGGTACTTTTTGTGGTAACTCTTTGAGGTTTGTTCTGACTGTAAGTATGCTCTTCTTAGCTATCTCTCATTTTTTTCTAATGAATTAGCTGGCTCATGAGTTAGCTTGTTGCTTTTTAAGGCACCATTAGGGTTGAACTTCTTTGCACTCTTTTTCTTACAAAGTCAGTTACTTTTGGGAGAGCTTCAGAGCTCTTATAGTCTGCCTATCCTCCAGGGCAAACAGAACTGTTCTGGGCACAGGACTGGGCAGTAGCCTCTGACTTGCTGTTTCCAATATCCTATGAGCAAACTTGGATGAGGACAGTGGGGCCCCAGCAACCTCAGCCTACCACACTGTGGTAAAGCTTCTGTTTTATAGGTGGAGATTGGGTTGTAGAAGGGAGCCTCCTGTCTCTTAGCCACACTCACTAGTTTAGCTTCTTTAACTTGGAGTTGAAGGGGAAGAGAAATGTTGATGACTTGGAGTTGGAGGGGATGAGAAATGCTGATGACTTACTTTCTCTGTGACATACAGTGAGCCTTGATTAAGAGCTGAGAGGGAGCTTGCTCTTGTGGCCTCATCTACCTGGAATGGAGCTTCTGTCAACCTGAGCTGGGGCAAGGTAGGAAATGGGTGATGGCTCAGATGCCATAAACTGTCCCAATACCAAATTTTAGTAGATGTTCTTGAATAATATTTCTTCATTCAAATAAACCCTTAGGGCAATTTCCAGACTTTAAATGGTTGTTTTTTTAAAAAATAGGTTTTTTCAGATTTGCTTATATCACTGAACTCTCCAAACCATTAATTCTAAATATTCCTAAAGTTCAAAGATGTCTTCTCAGTAAAGAAACTACCATCCCAAGTAACTGAACGTTTTGCTTTTTTTTTTCTCTTTTCTTACTTTTCTGAACAGTGGTTTTGGTCAGACATTAAACCCAGAGCTACCAGTATCAGAGCAGTCTTTGCACTATCCTAACTCATATTAAAGACTTCATAATTACCATATTTATCATGAGTTAGAGATGTTATTTTCATGGTTTATTTACATAGTTTGCTGCTACCCATAGAAATCTGCAGTTTACTGCTAGCATGTTTACTTGATTGGATTTTACAGTTCTTTGGCTCAATTGGTATGTGGGTATTTCCTGCATAGGACATTTGATATTCTTGCATTCTTTTGTATTCTTAGAATCATACAATTTACAGATATTTAAATTGATATGAAATTAAATTCTGAACTTTTAAATGGCTTCCTATGATCTGAAATTACATTTTATAAAAGAATTTTACTGACATCTGTGCATTTCAGTCATATATAGTTTCATATAAAAGTCAGAAACTTAAAATTTTAGAAGTTGAATGTGCTTCATTTTTTAAGTTGTATAGAATGAAGAAATCTTTTCAATTGTCTCCCTTAATATACTTGTCAATATACTTAGTTCAGTTGATCACTTTCTCCTCCTTTCTGTGTTTACTTGTGTTTACTCTTTTTGTGACTGCTGAATGATACCCTTCCTAAAATCTACTCACTTTCCTGAGAGGGAATCCAGTGTAGGGCAGAGTGATCATACTAAATCATTTCACATGTCACTGGTAAGAAAGTATATTGATTTTCCTTGAGTTAATTCTCCATTTTAGTTTTGATGGTGGAGAGGGGAATGGGGTCAAGTTGTAGAATATATTTATACCTCTGCTTCTAAGATTATCATGTAGATAATTTCTTCAGCAGGAGCATAGGTTTGACAGTTTCTTGCAGAATGAGCTATAATCAAACCAATTTACAAACACTTATTTTTTCTTATTTAGATTTTTATTTATTTATTGTTAGAGAGTGGGGAAGGGAAGGAGACAGAGTGGGAGAGAAACATCAGTGTGTGGTTGCCTCTCATGCACCCCCTACTGGGGACCTAGGCTGCAATCCAGGCATGTGCCCTGACTGGGAGTTGAACCTGTGACCCTTTGGTTCCACTGAGCCACATTAGCCAGGGCTGCAAAAACTTATTAATATAAGCATTTTTTTTTTTACCTTAGGCTATAACTCTGCATAAGCAAAGTTATAGAAGGAGTAGATAGTGGTCAGTTCTGTAGTAGTCAGTAATTAGTATGCTGTTGGAAATTCCCTTTTAGGTAACATTCACTTGTATACTATAGTAATGTCATATAACGCCTGTAAGTGTGATCTGTTGTGAAGACTTTCTTCCATGATATACTGTTTCTCGCTGTTTGCTGAATTTCATACTATAAATGCACATATCAAATGTAGGATTTAATAGTAAAATATCCATGTATGTTCCTACCATTTTTAGAAGGACACACAAGAAACTGGTCATTGCTTGCTCCTCTAGAAGAGAATACCCTCGGCTGGAGGACTCAGATGGGGAATGTACCCTTTTAATCCATCTGAATTTTGAAATGAGTGTAAATGTTACTGAAACAGTAGTAAAGAACTAATCAATGGCACAAGGGAAAAATAGGCAAACACTCTGTGGATGTAATTCTTTCCAACTGTAATTTGGGGGCTGCCGTTTGGGTTTCTTCTCACAATTAGTAAGCTCTCCATGTTGATTGATGGATAAATTTGATTAGGACACTCTTCTAGGTGGTAAAAATTCTATTCTAATATTTTATGATTATATTGTTCCCTTCAACTTCAGATAATTTAGAAAAGTTGATAGGTTTCTCTTTAAGATGAAATCTGTTTTTGATTTGGAATACAAGTTAGTAGAAGTGTTGCTTCATGAATAAAAAGACCATGGTGGTGACTTATGAGTATTCTTTTACTACATATAACTAAGACAAGATTTTTTTGAGGTACTTTGATCTATATAGATGGTAAAAAATTTACTTGAATTTACTTGAAGCTTTTTTCAGTCTTGTATCTACAGTCTGAGTGACTAAATTCATTCTTGGTGTTTCATTTTAAAAGAATGCCTTTGGCAAATCTCTTTATAAAATGAAGTTGGATTATGTTCAAGTTTTAGGTCATTGTCAAACATTGTATTCTAAATGTTTACAGGCTTTTTGTTTTCTTCCTGCCTTTAAGCCAGCCTCAAAAAGTGTTTGTGTCCATTTCTATCAGTGCATCCTCTGCACAAATCTACCTACTTGTACGTAATTCAGCATCTGGCAGAGGTGGGTAAGATTTTGTAAAATACACAAGTTCACAAAGAATATTAGTACACAAGAGGAAACACACAGATGAACAAATTCATTTCTTCCAGCTTTTTAGCATTTCTGGAAGTAAATTGATGATAAGTGCTTTTTTTCTTTGGGAAAAGTTTCTTTTATATATTATGGTAGTGTAATGTCATATGCTTTGGAGATAGATATAATAAAAACTGTATTATTGAATAGCATATAAATCTAGAACTCTAGTAAGTTTGTGTAAAGGAGAAAAGAGATTTTTGTGAGTAAAGAGCTAGGAAAATTAATGCTTTTAAAATTATGATTATAGCTTATATTCATTGATGTCTTTTGTTAGAATAGAAGTAAATCTCAGTTTTTTCTTTTTTAAAATTATACTTTATTGATTATGCTGTTACAGTTGCCCCAATTTTTCCCCTTTGCTCCCCTGTAGTCAATCCCCCCCACTCTCTAAGGCAGTCCCCACACCACTGTTCATGTCCAAGGGTCATCCTATAAGTTCTTTGGCTACTCCATTTCCTATACTGTACTTTACATCCCCATGGCTGTTCTGTAACTACCTATTTGTACTTCTTAATCCCCTCACCTAGTCACCATTTCCCCCACATCTGCCTGCCAACTGGCAACCATCAAAACCCTCTCCACAGCCATGATTCTGTCTGTTCTTGTTTGCTTAGTTTGTTTTTTAGATTCAGTTGTTGATATATATTTATTGCCATTTTATTTTTCATAGTTTTGATCTTTTTTTTAAATAAGTCTCTTTAACATTTCACATAATAATGGTTTGGTGATGATGAACTCCTTTAGCTTTTCTCTTGTCTGGGAAGCTCTTTTTCTACCCTCCTATTCTAAATGATATCTTTACTAGGTGAAGTGATCTTGGCTGTAGGTCTCTGCTTTTCATGACTGAATATTTCTTGCAGTCCTTTCTAGCCTACAAAGTTTCTTTTGAGAAATAAGTTGACAGTTGTATGGGAACTCTCCTGTAGGTAACTAATTACTTTTCTCTGACTGCTTTTAAGATTCTCTCTTTATCTTTAATTTTTTGCATTTTAATTATGATTTGGAATGTCTTGGAGTGGGCCTTTTTGCATCCATCTTGTTTGGGACTCTCTGTGCTTCCTGGACTTGAATGTCTATTTCCTTTGCCAAATTAGGGAAGTTTTCTTTCATTATTTTTTTCAAATAGATTTCTAATTTCTTGCTCTTTCTCTTCTCCTTCTGGCACCCCTATGATTTGGATGCTGGAACATTCAAAGTTGTCCCAGAAGCTGCTTACATTATCCTCATTTTTTAAAATTATTTTTCTTCTTTTCTGATTGGTTATTTTTTGCTTCCTTATGTTTTCTCATTGATTTGATTCTTGGCTTCACTCACTCTACTGTTATTTCACTGTAAATTGTTCTTTATTTCATTTAGTGAATCCTTTGTTTCTGACTGGATCTTTTTTTATGCTGTTGTGGTCCTCACTAAATTCCTTGAACATCCTTTAACCAGTGTTTTGAACTCTGCATCTGGCAGATTGCTTAACTTGGTTTTGTATTTTTCTTTTTCTGGAGTTTTCATTTGGGCCATGTTTCTTTGTCTCCTCATTTTGGCAGCCTCCCTGTGTATTAGGCAGAGCTGTTTTGACTCTGTGTCTTGGTAGTGTGGCCTAACATAGTAGGTATACCATATGGTCCAGTGCCACAGCCTCCCCCTTCAACCAAGCTGGGTACTCAAGGTGTGCTCTTCATGTAGGCTGACTATGCCCTCCTCTTGTAATTCAGCTTTGATTGCTTTTGGCAGGTCAATGGGAGGTATTTACCCAGGTCAGTCAGCAGCAGGGACCACTGACCATCAACCTAAACCCTCTGTGGAAGATCAGCTGTGCAGCTGCAGAGTGGTGGTCCTCCAACGTGGTAGGTATCTGTCCACTGCATGTGCAGACTCAGTGGTTTTCCAGGTAGTTCAGGCTGAGATCAGCCCCGACCTGTGTTTTGCACAGGGCCACCCTGCCTGAGGTATGAAGCAATCTGAGATTGTTGCTACTTGTCCTGGACTTGGAGATTCCCAGGCAAAAAACTTTGAATCTAGGCTGGCTGCTGCTAGTGCCATCTCTGGGGCCACCTAACAAGGGGTACAGGGCAGGGGGTGTGGTGGTGGTTGGATGCACACTGACGTTGGCTGTTGCTTTTTGTGAGGATTTAGGAAGTTGTGGAGCATAAGCCAGGATCAGCCATTCATATGTAAATCTCTGTTAACAGCTTGGATAGATCTGTAAGTTTGGTGGTATGGAACCTCAGAGAATCACCAGGGTGGGGCAAACAGTGTGAGCAAGGTTGATAGAGTCTCAGGTATAGCAGCCTCCTGCTGGTTCTGTGACTCTGTGGGGGAACAATTTAGAAAAGGAACAATGGCCTTTCTGCTGGGAGAAAAATGTTCCCCAACTCTTGCCTTGATGCCAGACCCTTCACTTCCTCTCTGTGTGCCACTGGTGCTTTCAAGCTGCTATCCCAGTGCTAGACCTCAAAAAGAGTGAGTCTGAGTAGGTGAGTCCATGTGTGAGTTCTATAAGAGGGACTGCTTGTGTCTCCAGAAGTTTCTTCCACTCAGAGTCCCTGCTAGTTTTTGCAGCCAGAAGTTATAGAGACTTATCTTCCTGTCACTGGAACCCTGGACTGGGGGACCTGATGAGGGACTGGGAATCCTCACTCCCAAGATACCCCTTCCAAATTTTTATCCACCACACATGAGTGTGGGAACATCTCATTCTGCACCTCTGTCCCTCCTACCAGTCTGGTTAGATGTGGTTTCTTAAATTTTGTCGTTTTCATACTTTCCATTCCACTCAATTTCTGACAGTTCTGAGTGAGGGTTGTTCTATAATTTAGCTGTAATTTTGATGTGGTTGTGTGAGGAGGTGAGCCGTGTTTACCTATGCCAACATCTTGACCAGAATTCTATTTTTATATCTTAATACTTTTTATTTTCAATTAGAGTTGACATACAATATTATAATAGTTTCATGTATATAATCGTGATTAGACACTTATTTAACTTATGAAATGATATCCCTGATAAATTTAGTAACCATATTATGCCATACATTGTTATTACAATCTTATTGGCCATATTTCCTGTACTATATTTAACATTTCCGTGACTATTTGTAGCTACCAATTTGTACTTCTTAATCCCTTTCCCTTTTTCATCTATCTTCTCAATCTTCCACCATGTGGAAACCATCAAAATGTCAACAATATCTATGAGTTTGTTTTTATTTTGTTTGTGTATTTTGTTATTTAGGCTCCACATATAAATGAAATAATACAGCATTTGTTTTTCTCTGTTTGACTTATTTCACTCAGCACAATAACCTCCAGGTCCATCCATGTTGTTGCAGATGGCAAGATGTCATTCTTTTTTTGTGGTTCAGTCATGTTCCATTCATTGCGTATATGTAATCATTTCTTCTTTATCCATTCATCCAGTGATGGATACTTATATTGCTTTTGAATCTTGACTATTGTAAATAATGCCGCAATGAACATATAATTGTATATGTTTTTTCAATTTAGTGTTTCTGGTTTTTCTGAATAAATGCCTACAAGTGAAATTGCTGGGTCATTCTTTGTCTCTATTTTTTTCTTTGTTATTTTATTACAGTTGTCCCAATTTCCCCATGTTGTTCTTCCCTGCCCCTCCTACCTGACACTCCTACAGTCAATCCCTGCCCTATTGCCCATATCCATGGATCACTTATACTTGTTCTTTAACTAGGACCTTCCCCTTCTTTCTTCCCTTATACCCCTTCCACCTCCCCTCTGGTCCCTATCAGTGTGTTCCTTGTTTCCATGCCTCTAGTTCTGTTTTGCTTGTTTGTTTTGTTCATTAGGTTCCACTTATAGGTATTTCCATGTGGTATTTGTCTTTCACTGCCTGGCATATTTCACTTAGCACAATAGTCTCCAGTTCCATCCATGCTGTCACGAAGGATAGGAGTTCCTTCTTCCTTTCTGCTGTGTAGTATTCCCTTGTGTAAATGTACCACAATTTTTGATCCACTCATTTACTGATGGGCACTTAGGCTGTTTCTAGCCCTTGGCTATTGTAAATAATGCTGCTATGAACATAGGATTGCATAGATTCTTTTGAATTGGTGTTTCAGGATTTGTAGAGTATAATACCAGCCACAGAATTTCCAGGTCAAAAGGCAGTTCTGTTTTTAGATTTTTTTGAACAAATTCCATACTGTTTTCCCCAGTGGCTGTACCAGTCTGCTTTCCCACCAACAGTGCACTAGGATTCCCTTTTCTCCATATCCTAGCCAGCACTTGTTTGTTGATTTGTTAATGATATCCATTCTGACCGGTGAGAAGTATTTCATTGTGGTTTTAATTTGCATCTCTCTGATGGCTAGTGATGCTGAGCACACTTTCATATGTCTTTGGGCCCTCTGCATGTCCTCCTTGGAAAAGTGTCTGTTTGGGTCCTTTGCCCATTTTTTAATTGGATTGTTTTGTCTTCCTGGTGTGGAGTTGTGTGAGTTATTTATATATTTTGGAGATCAAACCTTTGTCCGAGGTATTGTTGGAAAATATGTTTTCCCATGTGATTTTCATTTTGTTGATATTTTCTTTAGCCAGGCAGAAGTTTTTTATAATTTGATATAGTCCCATTTGTTTATTCTTTCTTTTATTTCCCTTGCTCTAGAGGATGTATCAGTGAAAGTATTGCTGTGTGGGATATGTGAAATTTTATTGTCTAAGTTTTCCTCTTGAACTTTCATAGTGTCCTGGCTTATGTTTAAGTCTTTTATCCATTTTGAGCTTACTCTGGTGTATGGTATAAATTGGTGATCTAGTTTTAAATTTTTGCTTGTACCATTCCAGCTCTTCCAGTGCCATTTGTTGAAGAGGCTATTTTTACTCTATTTTATGCTTCTGCCCTCTTTGTCAAATATTAATTGACCATAGAGACATGGATTTATTTCTGGGCTTTCTATTCTGTTCCATTGATCTATGTGTCTGTTCTTATGCCAGTACTGGACTGTTTTGATTATAGTGGCTTGTAATGTAGTTTGATATCAAGTATTGTGATCCCTCCTACTTTGTTCTTCTTTCTCAAGATTACTGCATTTATTTGTGGTTGTTTTTAGTTCCATATAAGTTTTCAGAATATTTGTTCTAAATCTGTGAAATATGTCATTGGTGTTTTAATAGCGATTGTGTTGCACTTATAGATTGCTTTAGGTAGTATGGATATTTTAATGACGTTGATTCTTCCAATCCATGAACATGGTATATCCTTCGATTTCTTTGTATCTTCTTTAATTTCTTTCTTAGTGTCTGTAGTTTTAAAAATACAGATCTTTTGCCGCAGTGGTTAAGTTTATTTCTAGGTACTTTATTTTTCTTGTTGCTTTAGTAAATGGGATTTATTTCCTAGTTTTTGTTTCTGATATTTCATTGTTGGTGTAAAAAAATGCCCACAATTTCTGAATATTGACTTTGTTTCCTGCTATTTTGCCAAATTCACTTATTAGGTCAAGTAGTTTTTTGGCGGAGCCTATAGGGTTTTCTTTGTACACTCTTATGTCATCTGCAAATAATGCCTGTTTTACTTCCTCCTTTCTAACTTGGATTCCTTTTATTTCTTCTTGTGTGATCATTGTGGCTAGTACTTTCAATACTATGTTGAATAAAAGTGGTGAAAACGGACATTCTTGTTTGGTTCTTGATCTTAGGGGGAAAGCTTTTTGTTTTTACCCATTGCATATGATTTTGGCTGTAAGTTTCTAGTATATGGCCTTTATTATGTTGAGGTATGCTCTCTCTATTCCCACTTTGCTGAGTTTTTATCATAAGTGGGTGCTATACTTTATCAAATGCTTTTCCAGCATCTACTGATATGATCATGTGATTTTTGTCTTTTATTTTGTTTATGTGGTATATTGTGTTTATTGATTTGTGAATATTATGACATCCTTGCATCCCTGGAATGAATCCCGCTTAATCATGTTGTATGATATTTTTAATGTATCGCTTGATCTGGTTAGCCAATATATTATTGAGGGTTTTAGCATCTATGTTCATCAATGATATTGGCCAGTAGTTTTCTTTCTTTGTTCTGTCTTTATCTGGTTTTGGAATTAGGATGATACTGACCTCGTAAAAAGAGTTTGGGAGTCTTTCCTCTTCTTGGATTTTTTTGGAATAGTTTGAGCAGGACAGGTGTTAGCTCCTCCCTAAATGTTTGGTAAAATTTGCCTGTGAAGCCCTCTGATCCAGGGCTTTTGCGTGCTGGGAGCTTTTTGATTACTGCTTCAATTTCACTAATTGTTATTGGTCTATGCAGGCCTTCTTCTTGATTCAGTTTTGGAAGACTATATTTTTCTAGAAATTTTTCCATTTCACCTAGGTTTTCAAATTTCTTGACATATAGTTGTTCATAATAATTTCTTACAGTCCTTTGTATTTCTGTGATATCAGTTGTAATGTCTTCTCTTTCATTTACAGTTTTATTTATTTGAATCCTCTCTTTTTATTGATGAGTCTGGTTTTAGGCTTGTTGATTTTTTTTTTTTTTGTCTTTTCAAAGAACCAGCTCCTTGATTTATTGATCCTTTGAATTGTCCTTTTAGTCTCTATGTCATTTAATTCTGCTCTGATCCTGATTATTTCCTCCCTTCTAATCACCCTGGGCTTTGTTTGTAGTTGTTCTTCTCATTCTTGTAGATGTAGAGTTAGGTTGTTTATCTGAAATGTTTCTCTTTGTTAGGTAGGCCTGTATCACTATGAACTGCCTTCGCTGTGTCCCATAGGTTTTGGACTGTTGTGTGTTCACTTTTATTTGTTCTATATACTTTTTGATTTGTTCCTTGATCTCATTGTTAACCCATTTTTTAAATTTAATAGCATGTTATTCAGTCTTGTGTTTGAATGTTTTTGATTTTTTTCCATGAGATTGGCTTAGTTTCAAACTTTGTGTTCCAAGAAGATGCTTGATATGATTTTCATTGTCTTGAGTTTGTTCAGGCTTGTTTTGTGGATGACCATGTAGTCTATCTTTGAAAATGTTCCATGTAAAACTGAAAAGAATGTATATTTTGCTTCTTTGGGGTGGAAGATTCTGTATATATCAATTAAGTACATTTATTTAGAATGTTGTCCAATGCCACAGTAACCTTGATTCTTTGCTTGGAATATATATCTATTTTGACAATGGGGTGTTAAAATCCCCTGTTGAGTGGATTTTATTAGTGGGTCAATGGTTATACACTAATACTATGAGTGTTTAACTGTTGATATCTTTCTGGAAGTTCTCCAAGATTTTCCTTATGTATTTAGGTTCTCTTATGTTAGTGCATATATGTTTACAAGAGTTATATCTTCCTGATGGATTGTCCCCTTAACTATTATACAGTGTCCTCCTTTGTCTCTTTTTATGGACTTTGTTTTGAAATCTTTTTTGTCTGATGCAAATATTGCTACCCCAGCTTTTTTTTTCTGGCACATTTCCTTGGAATATTTTTTCCATTCTTCCCTTTCAGTCTGTATAGATTTTTTTTTCTGAGGTGTGTCTCTTGTAGACAGCATATATGCAGGTTTTCTTATCCATTCAGCTACCCTATATCTTTTAATTGGAGTATTTAATCCATTTACATTTAAGGTTATTATTGAGAGGTACTTATTCATTGCAATTTTTTCCCTTTGTTCTTGTGTTCCTCACTCTCTTTTTCTTCATCTTAAAGTAGTCCCTTTAGCACCTCTTGCAATGCTGGTTTGGTGGTATTGTGTTCTTTTAGATTTTTTTTTTTTTGGTCTGGAATGCTCCTTATTTTGCCTTCCATTTTAAATGAGAGTTTTGCTGGGTAGAGCAGTCTTGGTTGCAGGCCTTTGCTTTTCATTACTTGGAATATCTCTTGCCATTCATTCTGGCTTGTAGTGTTTCTGTTGAGCAATCACCTGATCATCTTATTGGGGCTTTCTTTTATGTCACTAGCTGTTTCTCCATTGCTGCCTTTCATATTCTCTCTTTGTCTTTAAATTTTGCCATTTTTATTATGATGTGTCCTGGAGTGGGCCTCTTTTGACTCTTCTTGATAGGGGCCCTCTGTGCTTCCTGGACTTGAGTGTCTTTTTCTCTCATCAATTTAGGGAGAGTTTCTGTCATTACATTTCTTCTCAAACAGGTTTTCTATGCCTTGCTCCTATTCTTCTTTTTCTGATATTCCTATGGTATGGGTATGATTATGTTTCATGTTGTCCTACAACTCTTTAAACCTTCATTCTTTTTGAGTCTTTTTTTGTTTTGTTTTGTTGCCCCTTCTGGGAATTTTTTTCTACCTTGTTCTCCAGCTTGCTGATTTGAACCTCTGCTTTATGTAGCCCGCTTTTAATTACTTCTACTGTGTTCTTCAATTAAGAAATTGTATTTTTCATGTCCTCCTGGCTCTCATTGATAGTTTGTATGTCCTTTTTCATGCTGATTTAGTTCACAGTAAGTTCCTTGTAGCTTCCCTGTAGTTCTTTGTAGTTCTCACTGAGCTCATTGCTTGTCCTTATAACCATTATTTTAAACTCAGTGATAGTTTTCTTGCTTCTATTTTATTTATCATTCTTTCTGGAGATTTCTGTTTTCTGGGGATTCCTCCTTTCCTTTTCATTGGGGTTTGTTTTTTTTGTCTTCCCATTTTAGGGGGGACTCTTATTTGTTTCTGCTTCTTAGATTGACCTGCTTTGACTTCCTGTCTTCATCAAAGAACTTCTATGGTAGGAGATCTGTGGGATTCAGTGGTATGATCTTGTTGATCTCCTGAACTTGATACTGTTGGGTTGTCCTTTATGCTGTTTATGTTGGCTCTCTGGTTGTAATTGGGTTTTGATTGTTGGGTAGGTCCTCCCCTCTGGCTGGCTGAGAGTCACTCTGCCCACCATGTCTTGTATGCTGTTGTGCAGGTGCTACAAGAATGTAACCACACAGCCCAGGAAACAAACCCACACCCGCAAAAATAACCCCCATCCACAATCACATTATCAACAGTAAATAAGCCAGTATTAATAAGAGTGTAAAGAGTTTAAGTCATTTTCATTATTATAAAAGGGGAAAAAAGAATATGAGTTGACTAACTGAAAGAAAAATAATTTTGAGAGGGTAGAGGTAGGATCAATAATAAGAGTAGGGATTTGGAGCAAGGTTGAAGAGAGAAAGAATGTAAAATTTACATTGTAAATAATAAAGGGAGTAAAGAAAGTGGAATGGAGCAAGAGAAGGTAACTCTATAGTATTAGGCTTAAACAGAAATCTAAAAACAGTAAGAGAGAAAGAAAAAGATAAGTAAATAAATAAAAGTATTAAAGAGCCAAATTGGAGTAAAAGATCTAGCATGGCGCTATCAACAACAAATGAGCTAAGATTAATATAGGTGGGATGGGAATAAGATGTAAAAAAGAAAGAAAAGCTTTAGTGATGTCTAGAGGAAAGGGAAGTGATTTTGAGATGATAGAGTAAGAAGGAATACTAAGAGTAAGGAACAAAAATCTGGCTAAGACAGGGAAATATAAAAATTTGAGGTAAGAAAAGGAGGGACAGGAGGAAAGCTGAATGGAGTAAGAGAGGGGAATGGTAAAATTTGATATTCAAAATACTAAAATAGTGAAGATCTAGAGATAAAATTGAAGCAATGCAACAAGAACCACACTATCCACAACAAATAAACAAAGATTGATAAAGGTGGAGGGAAAACACAGATATTTTAAGAGCAAGAAAAAGAATGTGAAATGACCAATGACAAGAAAAATGGTTTTGAGAGCAGGGAGGAGATAAAAACAGTAAGCATACAGAATGGAATCAAGTTGTAGCAAGAGAGAACACAAAATTTAAAATAAAAATAAGGAGATGAAAGAAGATGGTAAAGTGGGATAAGAGAAGGGAAAGCAAAATATGAGATTTGAAATAAACTATAATATAAAATCTAGTGACTTCATATGCACAAACTAGGACACAAAATGGATGTTAAAAAACTATGCAGGAGAGAAAATACGGCACGTCATGAAGAAGACTGTGATAGAGTTCATCGCAGTAGCATCTAGTATTTACCACTTTTTTTTTTCTTTTTGGATTCACCTCTGGTGATGTCAGATGTCAGATGCCTTAGGCAGCCTGTTCAAGACTACCAGGAAACTACCATCTATGTCTGTCTCCTTCAGTTGTTAATCTAGTCACTCTGTAATCAGCAGTTAGGCTTAAGCACCACAGGGTAGGGTAAAGTAACTCATGTGGGTGGGGCTATTGCTTCCCCTCAGGTTGATGTACTTGGAGAGGAGAACTCTGCCTGAGCAAGATGGCTCCTGCAGTATGGGGAATGACTTAGCACCAGGTCCCGGGTGGCTACTTTCTCAATTCTCTCCCCAAAGTCATTGGCCCCAGTCTCTCCTCAAGTATCTCTAGTCCACTCTGCCCCCACTCTGCCCCCACTCTGCCAGAGCCCAGGGAAAGTGGCTGCAAATCAAAATTTATGTGTTGGCCTTTCAAACAGCTCTCTGTGAATCTAGCTGTTTGTCCCTGGCAAAGAGAAACTCTGCCACTTTTTGCAGCTGGATGTTATGTGGGTACTTTTCAGGCCCTGATGCCATAGGCTGGGGAACCCAGCTTGGGGTTTAGACCCTACCCTTCTCAGGGGGAATGCACCGGCCAATGAAGTATGCCTCTGGCACTTCAGCTGCTGCCTATGGGCACCAGGCCAGCCCTCTCACATCTCCTCTACACTCTGTGCCAGTAATGTTGTAGTGAAACTGCTTCTTCTGTCTGTGGTTATAAGGCTTCTCTCCTGCTGTTGTTCAGTTGTTTATTCCAGATGATTTCTCCACAATTTAGTTGTAATTCTCGATTTATCCTGGGAGGAGTTTAGTGTAAGGTCCACTCGCTCCTCCACCATCTTGGATCCCTCTGTCTATTATTATATAACCTTTGTTTTAAAGTCTATTTTGTCTGGTATAAGTAGTCCTACACCAGCATTTTTTGGTTTCAATTTTCATGAAATGTCTTTTTTTCCATCCCTTTACTTTCTGTGTGTCTTTTTGATCTGAAATTAGTCTTTTGTAGGTACCACACGTAAGGTCTTGTTTTCTTATCCATTTGAATACCCTATGTCTTTTGATTGGAAAGTTTGATTACATTTAAAGTAATTGTTGATAGATTTGTACTAGATAGATATGATAGATATGCCATTTTATTATTAATATTATAAATCTTTTTTTGTCCTCCTTAAAGGTTTCTCTTTAACATTTCTTGTAATACTGGTTTGGTGGTGATGAACTCCTTTAACTTTCTCTTGTCTGGGAAACTTTTTATCTGTCCTTTGATTCTAAATGATAGCTTTGCTGGGTAGAGTAATTTTCATTGTAGGTCTGTGCTTTTCATCACTTTGAATATTTCATCCCAGTCCCTTCTGGCCTGCAGAGTTTCTGTTGAGAAATCATCTGAAAGTCTTATGGGAGCTCCTTTGTAATTAACTATCTACTTCTCTCTTGCTGCTTTAACCTTTGGCATTTTAATTATGGTATATCTTGGTGTGGACTACTTTGGGAGAATCTTGTTTGGGAGTCTTTGTGCTTCCAGGACTTATATGTCTATTTCCTTCACCAGGTTTGGAGAGTTTTCCATCAGTAACTTTCAAATAGTTTTTCAATCTTTTGCTCTCTTTTTTCTCCTTCTGGTACCTCTATCATGTGAATGTTTGTATGTTTGATCTTGTCCCAAAGGCTCCTTAAACTATCCTCAGGTTTTTGGTTTCTTTTTTCTTTTTGCTCTTCTGAATAGGTGTTTTCTGTGCTCTTATTTTCTAAATTGCTGATTTGATTATTTGCTTTATCTACTTACTGTTGATTTCCTGTAACTTATTCTCCAAGTTATTTTATTCTTCATTTCTGATTGCTTCTTTTTTTAAAAAGTATTTTTATGAGTTTACTTGAGCCTATCTGATGACAATTGCTGGGGGTCAAAATCTCACCAGATTGAGAAAATACTCTGGAAAGTGGCAGTTTTGCACCTTTTGTTATACATTATAATCAAAGGAGGAGGCCTAAGTGGGCTACATGAAATCCATGGGTGATAGATTAGGGGTTTGGGAAAAGCAAAGCAGGGAAACCTCTGGGATTGAGTAGAAAGTAAAATGATAGGCCCATACTTCTTTTACATAGGTAACAGTGTAGTTAACAGTGAAAAATTATCATGAAAACAGTAACAGTGAGTGGATTTGTGGTCTCCAGTAATAATGAGGGGATTTGTGGTCTCTGATGCATGGTTGTGCCTGAGGGGTACAGAAAAAGGGAAGTTACCTTGACATTCCTAAAATATGTTATAGATGCAAAAAGATAATAGATAGGCTCAATTAGGTAAAGACTGACTCTTACCAGGGAAGATACTATCCTAGGACATGACTACCTGCCATGAACTGCTTTTAGTTAAAACGTTTTGATTTCAGACCATTTTACGTGCTGTCTTTAGGTCTCTGATTTGTAGAGCTGACACACAGACCTCCCCTGAGCTTGTCAGGTTTAGTATGTGGCTCCTTTTTGTCCACGTGTCCCCATTTTGGTCATAAATTAATCCAAAGGATGCATTTGATCTCGAACCTTTTGGTTGGATAACAAGGTCCCATGGTGCTAGGAAGGCTCATTTCTAGGAAGTCTCAGTGTCAACATTTGTCGTGCTGAATGATGGACCTTTGGGGATGGGGCAAGACCGTAACCTTGGATGGAAGTACAGGCTGCATTTTTTCTCCAAAGTGAAAGACAGGTAAGTGGGAGGCAGTCAGGTCTTAGGTGTCTTTAAAAAAACCCCTCACACCGGTCAGAATGGCCATTATAAACAGATCAACAAACAACAGGTGCTGGCGAGGCTGTGGAGAAAAGGGAACCCTAGTACACTGTTGGTGGGAATGCAGACTGGTGCAGCCACTGTGGAAAGCAGTGTGGAATTTCCTCAAAAAGCTGAAAGTGGAACTGCCTTTTGATCCAGGGATTCCCCTGCTGGGACTATACCCTAAGCACACCAAAACACCAATTCAAAAGAACCTATGCACCCCAATGTTCATAGCAGCACAATTTACAATAGCCAAGTGTTGGAAGCAACCTAAATGCCCATCAGTAGATGATTGGATCAAAAAGTAATGGTACATATACACAATGGAATACTATGCAGCAGAAAGAAAAAAAGAACTACTAAACTTCGCGACAGCATGGATGGAACTGGAGAGCATCATGCTAAGCGAGATAAGCCAGGGGGCGAAAGACAAATACCATATGATCTTACCTATAAGCGGAACCTAACCAACAATGCAAAGATGCAAGGAAAATAAGACCGGCAACACTGAAAGGAAAAGAAATCAACAGAGACAAGAGGGAAGGGGAGGGCAGGGAAAGGGAAGGGAAGGGAAGGGGAAAGTCAAGGAACATATAGCCAGGACTCATGGACAAAACCAAAGGGGAAGAGCTGAGGGAGGGAAGGAGGGAGGGGGCAAGGGAAAGTGGTGAGGGGGAGGCAGAGACAAATGTATTTAAAAAGTAAATAAATTTAAAAAAAAACTACAAAAAAAAAACAAAACAAAAAAAACCCCACTCTGGATCATTTCTAACTTAAGAGCTATTATGTTCCAAATTTTGTTGCCTATCTCACTTTTCTATATTTTGCATTTAGTATAACATTCGCTTATAGTTTGAGGACACATCATATACCTTTTCAGTTTTCATAATATGACCATGAGATGGGTTCTATCTCCATTTTCATGTTTCCTATCTTCTTGTTGAAATTCTCATTGAGATCATTAAGCATTCTTATAACAAGTTTTTTTAAACTCTGCATCTGGCAGATTGCTTATGTCCATTTTGTTTAGCTTTTTTCCTAGAGTTTTGTTCTGTTCTTTCACTTGGGACAAGTTTCTTTGTCTCCTCATTTTGGCAGCCTCCTTGTGTTTCTTTCTAGGTATTATCTAGAGCTGCTACATCTCCTGGTCTTGGTAGAGAGAACTTTAAGTGTTCCCTGGGGCCCAGTGGTGTGGTCTCCCTGGTCACTTGAGCTAGGTGCTCTAGGTTTATCCCTTGTATAGGTTGTATGTGCTTTCCTGTTGTATTGAGCCTTGATTGCTGTTGACATGTCAATAGGAGAGATTTATCCTCAGGATGATTGGGGTGAGGACTGGCTGTGACTACAGTGGAAGAGCTTTTCTGTAGGGACTGACCCTATGGAGCAGGATTTGCTTTAGCCAGGCTCTGGTGCCTGCTGAGTATGCCTTTTGGGTGTGTCATATTTGGTGTGGTGGTGGTTGAGTGGTACTCTGGTGTTGTCTGAAGCTGGTCACAAGGTGTGTTGGTTCTGGGGTTTCTCGGGACATGCAGGTCAAGGTCAGCTATTGTCTGTGCTCTGCCTGGGGCCATTTCATATGATCTGCAGATGGTTGCCACTTGTGCTGGGCTTTGAGGTGCCTCGGAGAAACTAAGCTGTGAACTGAGTCTGGCTGCCAATAGTGGCTGGCTTGGGCTGCCTAGCAAGAGGTACAGAGCATACTGAGGCCAGATGCTGCTTGTTGTGCGTTTGTGAACCTTTGAAAGATTTTAGAAAAGTTCACAACATGAGCCCAAGGGGGGCTGTTTTATATGGGAAAACCACCAGAAGATACTTACTTGGGCTTACAGGTTGGTTTGGATGGGATGAACTGTGTTAGCTAGGTTGATGGGTAAGTCAGATATGGCACCTATATGCATCTGTAGGTTGGGTGGAGGTAAGGCTCAATGAAAGCATAATGGCTTCTGGCAGTATTTCTGTTGGTGAGAAAGCTGTTCCTCCAGCCCTCTCCCTGAATCCAGACAATTCATTTCCTTTTTTATGTATTTCATGCCTTTCGAGATGCTG